AGGAACACTTTCCAAATTGCTTGGGAGTGACTGTAGCAGCTTCCCTGGGGCAGCAGAAGCTAAGTGCTCCTTTGCAGCTGCTGCTCTCCAGTCTGGGCTAAATCTTCAGCACGTGAACAGGCCCACCTGTCATCCTCTCCACTTAGGCAAGCTACGCTTTTCTCTTAATGAGGAGGGGGGTGGAAGGGTGAATGGCTAATTGTTCATAATTATCATTGTGTTATGGTGTCTTACTACCATCTCAGCCATCAGATACCCCTCTCTCTTTGCACCCAACCTTTCAGCTTGTGCCTGCAGAATCGTAGTGTTTGCTTCGGGTTCTGCAGATGCATAGGTCTGACTTTCCCTCTGACCAGAAAGAGGTCATCTGACCATCCCTCTCCATCTTCCTCAGTTCTGGAAGGACAGTCAGTTTATTTTAGAGGCCCAACCCCCACCCCCAAAACAGCAGCCTTTTCCCAGGCCAGCTGGGTGCCCTGGTGAGGAATGCTGACAATCTGCCGTCCTGGAGCAGAGCTGTCAGCATTACTTCCCTACTGCTGAGCCCTCAGTCAACACTCACATAAAGGATAAGTATGCAGCCCACTGCCTTGTGACAAGAGCTGTGACTTTGTTTAGGAGCCAAGCACTAGGAAAGAGTAGCAGGGAAATGTGGCTTAGTGGAACAGGAAATATTAGCAATCTGTGATAAAAATGAAAAAAGCAGCCAGTACACATTTAACTCATCTGGAGGCATAGCTCTATGACTGGTGTGAGCAGCAGCAGCCTCTGAAAAAAACCAATAAAGAATAGCTTTTCCAGTTCAAGGCTGACTTTTAAAAGAACAGTAATTTTTCATGTGTTCATCTGCATACAAGAAAAGCCCCTAAGCAAAGTCATCTGCATATTGCAGTAGCTGCTGGCACAGGAAAGGACATGGAGTTTTCAGGTCCACAGATGGTGGAAGGAGCTGTTGTGAAAGCCCACAAAGATACAATCACAAAGCCCCATCATGCTCCAGCAGCAAGTTAGGATAAGTGCATTGGCTACTACAGCTTTGTCCACCAGTTAGTTTTGGTTTTTCTACTAGAAAAACAGGATTGGGATAAGTGTCTCTGACTAAAACGATTTCTTTCAAAGTCCTTCTTTCTGAGTGAAATGGTTAAATGACAGCAGAATAATAGAAACAGAATAATAGAGAGAAGAAAAATTCCCCCCTCCCCTTTACTTTCTTTTGTGTGTTTTAGTCAAAGCAGGTATTAGGCTGAAAAGTTGCGTTAACACTGGATTCATATCTACAGAGTCCTTTCAAGTTATTATGGGGCTGATAACCTCTCTTTGTCCTTGTAATCCACAATAAATAGAGGAACTTAATTGCTCAGGAAATAGGGAGCAACTCTCAGATCCCTTAGTTCCTAGTACACTGTTTGCACAATACATAGTGATGGGAATAGCCAGAAGCTGATTTAATAATCTGAAGTCATCCAAGACTCTGGTAAATCCCAAGTGAAGCCCAAGTGTTTCTGCCTTGCTCTTGTCTCCAAGGAGCAAGTAACTGCAACACAATGAATCTTTAAGGCTGGAACGTAAATGGCAAGGCAGTCACCCATTTAGGTCTCCATCCAAGGAGCTGTGGCAGTGGCAGGGGGATTGGACACTGTATGTGCAGGTGATTGTAAGGAAGGTCTCTACCAAGAACAGAAAATGAAGCAGGCTGTGCTGTGAGAGGCAGCACTTCTCACACAGGGACAGGGACCCTGGCTGTGGATGGCACGCTGCCCTCTGGCTCCCAAGGCATGACCTTGGGCAAGCAGCATGGGCTCTCCGGTCCCGAGTTTCCTCTTCTCCAAAACAGAGATATGATACAGAAGTGGGCTGAGAGCCTTGCAGAGAGGTGCTATCGCTGGTACAGAGAATTATCATCCCAGGCCCAGGTCCAAAGCACACAGCAACATGGAGAGCCATTTCCTCAAAGGACCCTGGCTCTGGCACCCAACCCAAGAACAGGCCGTATGTGTTCTCTGAGCTGCAGGTTCACTGCCATACTTTTACCTTGTAAATGACAGTAGGTGCAGAAGTTCCTAAAGGCTGAAAATTACCAGTAATTACCAATAACGAAATAATTTCCTCCTAGATGGTATACGACCCAGCTCTTGAGCCTCCTGTGAGTTACAATCAAAGCCATATGTACAGTCATGAATATCAGAAATATTTACAAAACACAGACAAGATTTTAAAAACAAAAGCAGTGATTTCTTCATCTCACTGGAAGCCTTACAAAACATGGGGTAAATTGTCTCAATTGAAATATTCTGCTGACCACAGAGGGCTGTATGCTTCATTGTAATGGTTAGTCACTCTATACATATTTTCTGGTTCACTTAATCTACTACGGCTGCTCACAAAACTATTGCAAGGCAAAGATTAGGAAGCAGAGTAATTAGAAATTTTGTTTATGCAAAATTCAGTGTGGTCGTAGCACAATACAACACAAAAGGTAAATGAAACCCCCATTTGAGCAATCATTTCCCCTGCACTGGTGGCTGGCATAGCCAGAGATATCTAGGAGAAGACCAGGAAAGGCTGCAAAAGTGGCTAATTTAAATTTTTCGTGATGAGACTGTACTGGGATACATATCTCTGCTTTGATGTTTTTCTGAAAGCCTAAACAAAACAAAAAAAAACCCAAACACTTTAGCACAGAAACCTCACCCCTGGCTTTTTCTACAAGTCTGCTAAGGAAAATTTGTAGGTACTGCAAATCCAACCAGGCTGTTGAGGCAGAGCACGAGCTTCGTGCAGATGCCAGCTGGCACTACAGCCTCACTTCTCTGTGCTTCATACAGGAGCTGATGCCCCTTTCCTTGTAAATTTGGTGTGTACCACTAGGCCAAGACTCCACAAGTAATCGAGCCCTATGCTGAGGTCCCAAACAGCTCCCAGGTCCTTTGGGTGCCAGGACACCTTGAGGATGTTCAGCTCTTAGCAGGCCCAAAAGGCACCTCTGCTCATCTTCAGCACAGAAGGCACAAAGCAACACTGTGAGAAGTGTGTACCAGGGTCCTTACCTTACACATCAAAAATCCCACACTGGAAAGACAGGAAAAAACATAACAAACACCCATGGTACTGTTCACAACTTTTTTTTTTTTTTTTTTTTTTTTTTTTTAAATGCTTATTTCAAATTTATAAAAGACAAGCTGGAAGTCTTTACGATGGTTGATTTTATTTTAAAAAATATGGATAGGTGTGAAAAGTAATTTGGCACTTTCTAAAAAGGACTGAGATGCTCCTGATAGAAACAAGCAGAGGAGTAAAGGTTTTCACTGAATTCTGGTTTGGGTTCAATTACAAAGAAAATTGTTTAGTTTCAGCTGTGTTGTAAATTCAGTGAAATTGCATTCTAGCCTAGATTTCATCTGGAGGAAGGGGGATACACATTTAGATTGGTCTTCTCTTGTGTTTTGTTTTGCTCAAAAAGCATAGACATTATTTCATCTTCCTCTTCCTCTCCTCGTCATTTAATTGGGAAATATGAAAGGACAAAATGTCAGTGTTATCCTAATCACACCATCAATACTGACACAGATCATAGGCAGAGGTCTTCCTTCTGGAGTTTCATTCCTGTGTTTTCTAAATCAAAAGAGAAGCAGCTACCATTTGTGAGAAAGGTCAACATCTGTCCCAGTCTGGAAAAATTTTAGTTGATTTCAAATCGTTGAAAAGTTCAAATAATTGAACTTTGAGTTAGATCCAGATTTTCTCTCTGTACCCCACATTGTACTTCAGATGAGAGAAAACTTAAGAGAAAACACTAGGAAGACAACATTCCCTGTTAGGAAAATAATGGCCAATTTCTAGGACCATTTCATATGGACCATAAATACATAAGCAGTCTTATTTCACATCCAGTTAACCAAAAGTTAAAGCAGAGAAGAATGTATTGATGCACTTTTGTAAAGACATCCCCATTTATGATGGAGCAGAAACAACCACATATTATAAAACTCTTGTTCTACTATATTTATGTCCTTACAAAGACACCATTGTTACTAAAAGCTTATAAGGGATACCTCTAACAGCTGTAAGCAACAGTGGGTCCTTGAATAGATAATAAATTTAGAAATGTTTAACTGACTTTTCAAAGCTGCTGAGCACCAGCACTTGTGAGAGGTCAGATCTTTAAGATAATTTGCATATCAACATTAAGTTCAAATGCCTATATTTTGGGGTGTTTGCTATTGAAAAAAGAGAATTTGTACTTGTTACAATAAAATACTTCTTTTGGAAGAGGTTACTGACATTTCCCCAGTGAATGCAAACAGCACCAAGCCTAGGTCAATGTACAGGGTCACTGAAAGTAATACACCTTCAGCAGATGCTTGAAAAAGAGGACGTGCTGCAGTACAAATACATATCAGGGGAGTCCAAGACATCTGAGCAGCTGCAGCTCTATGGAGAGCCCAAAGTACCACATTTTTCTTGTTATACCTCATTTCTTTTCCCATGAAGGTAGAAAAGAACAGGTCGGAGTTTATGCCAGATGGTAGAAGTGTTTTTTTTTCTGGATTAATTTCAGGTTACTTGAAATTCAATCACAGTGTTTAAGATCTATGAAAAAGAGAAATAAGGCACATTTAATGCTACAGTTTAGACTCCTAATGTCACACAGAGCAAGGCATTTACAGGTAACAGTGATGAGCCTGAATTCTGTGTCCCAAAGACCTGCTGTACATGGACCGTGACACCGAGTGTTACAGAAATCAGCTGCTCTTGGTGTGGGTGCTCACACATCACACACTGCAAGAAATAAAACTGAGAACTCTGAGTCTCATAATTGTGCTATATATAGAGAGATTAATTGGAGCATCTGAGTGGGTCTTCAGAGAGTACCTACCCAGGTTCAAAGTGTTCCTTTTAGGCTCTTAGATTGAGCTTAAGACATTGGAAAAGCTTAGACCAGGCTTTAATCATCACAAATAGCCCACCAAACAACCATTCTTCCAACATACTGACAGCTCTTTCAATAGATACCTCTTTATTTGAAATGGAATGTATCTTGAAAAATATGAAAAATAAATCACATCTCTCAGAAATCATTTATGAGTCATATTTACACACAATTTTTTTTTTGGACAACACTAGTATTTCTGCTCACAAGAGGATATGCTAGAAAACATTTCGTACATCACTGCAGCTGTAATTCAGAAGCCGGCATTTGAATATCATGAACCTTAAAAAAGAGGAATTACTTCAGGATGTCACAGAAACAACATCCATTTGATATTCCTTTTCCCCCCATTTCCTAAATTGTCTTGGTCACCACAGCTTGGATTTTCTTGCTGAATCTGCCCTTTCATTACTTTTTTTTTTAATTACAACAAGTAATCTTGACCTCTTTATGAACACTGTCCCCACTTTAGCTATCTATACCAAGCATTTGCCTGTGTTTTACCAGCATTTTTGATTATTCTGTAATGAATTTACTTCAACCGAGTGCTGTCAGATTTCTTTTCTTTTTTTTTTTTTTTTTAGAAGAGGAAGGACAACTTAATTTATTTACCTGCAAAGCTCCAATAAGATGGAGCATGATGTGCTGAACCTATTTTTATAGCCATTGCTTACAAAGCAGTAACAGATAGTATTAAATCCAGATGTTCAAATGAAGACTATGCAGTAATAGAGGGGCAAGATTAAAAAACCCCAGAAGTACATCTTATAACAAACAATTTCTTAGTCTACAATTACTATCAGTCAAGAAAAACAAAAAACAAATAAACAAACAAAAAGGAACAACAAACAAAACAAAAAATACCCAAAGCCCAAAAAACCTCACACACCATGGAATTCAGAGCGTGAGAAAATTGTCAGACTGTCCCCATCAGACAATTTAGCCTTATTTATACTGACAGGGCATGAGCCACATGGTCCAACTGTCCCCAGGGGACCCCAGCCAATTTGTTCCCATTCAGTTTCCAGGAGACAGTTTGGAGACACAAGGAAAAAGTTTGATCCTTACACCCATCCCACCCACTCAGGCTGGAGGTATATCAAGGTAGATTTTGTAATGTGACCACCTCTCACACTAGGAGGCTGGCTGACACCAGTTTTTAAACAGGTAACACAGCAGGCAATGACAAGCAACAAAAGTTTGTTGAACTAGATCAGTCCAAAAGGTTTTCAGATCATCCTTCAGACCAACTAAAAACAAGAAAGAAGCGGGGTATTGACCTTGAACCAGTGAAAAGGAATCGCAAATTCAAAATGCAAGTAGTTTCCTCATACCTTCATGTAAATTTTCTCACTAAAATTATCATCTTTAGCTTTCAAAGTACAAGTAATTCCAGAAGAACAATAGAATTTCAGCTTTAGACTACATCCATAGACTTTTGTGGCATATAGAGGCTTGCATCCAATGAGGACAAGAATAACTGCCTCTCTCAGAGAAATACATGTGTCTCTGATCAAATAGGAATTAATTATCATCAGTTACATTTATCCTTCAGTAGGCTAAAATGCATTTTAGTAGGTGAGATCAGCAATACATCTGTATACCTGAAAAGGTGGATTAGTTTCTCAGTAACCTGCAGTTAATCACTCTAAAGAGAGGAACCAAATTACAAATTACAGTCTATTTTGTGAGTCTTTGACTAGCTCATTAGAGAATCCCCTTGCAGCTCTAATATCCAAGCGTTAGCAGAATGATAATGGCAGATGTACAGAGATGTGGAAATTGAGAATTATGACTGTCAAGTTGGCGAACCTAATCCTAGAAGATGCAGGGCACCTTCGATTTCAATTAATCGCAAAATAACGACTTTGTTAGGACAGCTGTTATCTACCACCCCAAGTTCTTAGTGCAGCCTTGTCGAGGGCCAGGTTGGAAAGAAGCGCTCAGGAATAATTGTCTAGGTATGTGACCCTGAACCTGGGGGAAGGAACAAAAGACAAGGACTAACACAGACCTCCACTAACCCCTTACAGGACTGAGCTTAATCTTAAGAGTGCAGAGGAAGGGATCGATGTACATAGTAGTGAATTCTAAAATCTCCCTTTGAGTATCACTTCAGTTTTTTGCTTTAAACGCTTAAAGAAATAAGCTTGCACCGAGAATGTAAGGCTCTTGCTGTCAAGTTACACCTCATTTACACAAAAAGCCTTGGATGTGTAGCTTTAAAATATTTTGTTTATATTAATGTAAATTGTAAAGGTGCCAAAAGCCATTTTCCTCAGCACACTAACTAAAATAAATATCTCCATGGCTTTGACATTGTTCCTTGGACTGGAGATAATGGACTACATCGGTCTGCCCCATTTGCAGCCTCCCCCTTTAATTTAAACCAGAGAACCTGGGTGGTAGCAGCATCCAACGTGAAGGCAGGTATGGTCAGAAGGGCCCTGTCCTAGAAAGCTCACTGCCCATTCCTGCCTCCCTCCTCTGCACTGGGCAAGGAGCTCCGACCTGCTCCCACCAGCATCGGCAGCCCAACTCCACTGACTTTTAAGAGGCAGAGAAACTCACACCAGCTGTGCAATTAGCCCTTTGTTTTCCAATTTCATGGCTTCATCAATGTTTTTAGAGGGAAGATGGCACGCCTCTCTCAACATCTGACAGTGCTAAACACCAAAATTAAATCTAGTTCGTCTCAGCTAGAGAGCAACTTTCAGCTTATAAAAACTGTGACCAAAATAATCCATTTGCACACTAAAACAGACATAAAATTTTAAACTATGGAGTGCTTTAATGCAAGACATTAAAAAACCGCCATGAAAATGCAACATAGGTTGAGAGTCCAGATCACTTGAAAACTAAGTGTGCAGAGGGAGCCTGAACTTGGATGCTAAGAAACATTCCTGAACACATGAACATTCCCAGCTCTGGCCCACCAGCCTAGGAGCAAGCACACCACTCAGATAGCTGGATTCCAACTCAGATTCCTGTATCACAAAAGAAGTTGGTCAGATTCCTTCTGCTCCTACCCTGAACAGATTAATCTCAGAATGACAAGCAACATTGCTTTTTTGAATAGCCAAGCATGAATAAATTTTTATCATCTTCCACCACGTTTAATATTAAAAAAAAAAAAAATCAATTAAGCCCCAGACTATAATTGTTGTTCTCATTAGAGAAAATAGGTTTCATATGCAGTACGGGTTTCAAGCAAATTTTGAAACGCACATCACATTTTCCATGCTGGTGGAATATAGTGTATTTTGAGTAAAAGATGAATAACTTCTTTGCCAAATTGCACACAGTCAGCATATCCAGAACTTTTCCAACCTTTCAGGGAGATAACATGCATATCGTTTTTTCCTTTACTTTTTTGATACAGCCTACATTCAGAAATGTCTTGCAAATAAGCCTTAAAAAAATTAAAAGGAAAACAAAACAAAAAGAAACCAACACTAATAAATAAAATAAAATACATTAAAATAAAGTTACAGTACATCATGTCTCCTAGAAGTCCCATCGCACCAAAGGATCCTTTCCAAGGTTCATAAATAATGAATTTGAAATGCTTCTCGGCACCGAGGGCGGCAAAGCAGCAGCAGCAGCAGCAGCTGGCTGAGGTTGAGGCTATTGAGCCGCTTCTCTCTGATCTACCTGCACCTCCGGCGTTTGCCCAGTTTCTGAGCCCCTGGAGCGGGTCCGCCGGGAGCGCGCTCTGTGCCTCTTGTGGGAAGCGCTCCGCGATCGTGACCTGCAGTGAGACACAGAGCACAGAGGGCAGGCAGCCCGTCAGGCGGGGAGGCGGCGGCCGGGCCGGGAGCCGCGCGGTGCCGGTGCGGCGGGCGCGGTGCCGGCTCCGTACCTGCGCTAGGCGGAGTTGGAAGCGCCGCGGAGCCGCGACCCGTGGGGCGCCGCCAGGTGCTGCTGCTTCTGCCGGGTGGAGCGCACGGCCAGGATGGCCTGGCGGTTCTTGTACTGCACCATCTGCAGCGTGATCGCCGCGTTCCAGCCCTGCTCCTGTGCGCACCGAAAGTCGATCTCCTTCCCCTCGGCCATCACCACCGTGAAGTACACGTACTTGCCCTTCCGCTCCACGCAGTCCACCGTCTTCATGTTGGAGAAGTGAAGCTCCTTGATCTTGGCCGCCGGCTCGACCGGCGGTGCCGGCTGCTGCTGCTGCTGCGGCGGCGGGGGGTGCTTGGGGGGGATGAGGAGCAGCCCCTCCTCGGTGAGGATACAGCGCTTCTTCTTCCAGAGCTGCAGCAGCCCGTCGCTCCTCTTCTCCAGCATGCCCTCCTTCACCGCCTTACAGCCGCTCTCCAGCATCCTTCTGGAAGGGTTAGACGGCCTGCGCCCGCAGGGGCTGGGCTCGGGGCGCAGGCGGCACCAGCCGAGCACTCTCCGCCGGGCGCCGGCTCCGAGGCGGAGGGCCGGGAGCGCCCCGGCCCGCAGGAAGCGGAGCGGCTGCCGCCCGTGCCGCGGCGTGGCGAGCGGCGGGCGCTGCCGGTGCGGGCGGCCGGGGTTGTCGGCGGGCTTTTCCCTCCCCTCCCGCTTTTGAACGCGCCTCTCCCACCCCAGAGTGACACCCAGCGGAAACAGCGGCTCCTCCCGCCGCCGGCCGCGGGGAAGCCCGGCGCGGTCAGAGGAGCGGGGCCGGAGGCGCGGCGAGCCGCCCGCCGGGCGGGGCGGGGGCTGCGCTCCCCGGCGGCAGCGAGCCCGGCCCGGCTCCCCGCCCCTCGCCCAAGGCTACGGCACAGCACGGCGGGGCTGCGGAGGGAAGGGGCTCCCCGCCGTAGTTAACCAGCGCTAGACTAATAGAGAGATTACCAGGACACGGCAGATGCCCGAAAGCGCTCCTTTGCCTTACTCGGGGTGTTCCCGCACTATTTAGTTGAAATGTACTTCCTCAGCCTGCCTCCTTGGGCAAGAGCAGTAAAGTGCCCTCTTCTGCGTGTTTTCATTTCATTTCAGTAAAAGGGTGCCAGTTTCCAGTGGAACCCTAATATTTAAGAGAGCATTGCTCCAATTAACAAAAGAAAGCCTGAAAGAACTTGGTAGAAGACCTTGATCCCTATGCTGGCCTGAGAAGAAGCAGTTTCAAGTGTGTATATATATATATATAAAATAAATCTTTGCCTTTTGCAGCAGTTTGAGTAATGTCTAAAGAAAGACATCTGTACGACTTCCCTAAGGGAACAGTAGGACCTCAGTACATGGAAATTGCAAAAGCAGACTAGGGAAAAAAAAAAAAAAACCAAAAAACCACAACAAAACCAAAACCAAAAAAAAAAACCCTAAACAAAACAACAAAAAAAAACCAGCAACAAAACCAAACTGGTAATCAGCTAGGAGCGTTTTTATCACTCTGCTTTGCTGCCACACATTTGCTTATTGTTTGGATTATCCCCCGAGATTAGCTTTTGAATAAATTTGAGTAGAAAAGTAAAGTAACCTAAGATTAATATGAAACTATTTAATTCTTAATCCTCTGATGTATTAGATGTAAATCAAAATCCCACATAGCTGAATTTGGATGACAAAGCCCATGTAAACTGAAGGCTAGAAGTTTCATACTATGAGAGCACTGTTTTTAAACATAAATTTAACATGGCCATAAAAAAAATCCTCTTCACATCAATCTTGGCAGCTAGGAATCAGATCATGCTGCAGCATGTGCTGTGTTCTAACAGATTAGAGGAAAAAAAAATCAAGACTAATGATAGATTCAATGGAGTTTATTTCTGATAACATTTAAAAAAGGATTTCCTCTAATAATCTTTTCCTCTTGAAGTTCAAAGCTAATTTTGATAAATTGCTTAGGGGTAAACAATTTAAGGCAGTAAAAGCAATTAAAATTTAGCTGGTTTACCCTTTTCAAGGTAACTGGAAAACACTCAGTAAACAAAGGCAACTTGACTAGCCATAAATTAGATGGAAAAGGAAATCAATATCCTAAACCATTCTTTTACATAAAGAATAGTCCCTTCTCCTTAGAGCTGAATGGATAGACTGTAAGATACAGGTCGTTCTCACAACCATTTAATGCTTATTTTAACAGACACATGCTAATTTTCAAAATATATGGACACCATTCACCAACTGCCTCCACCAGCAGTTCACTGCTATTTGAACCTAAATTTTCTTGCACAAATATCTGCATCTCCAGCTGACTGTGCAAATACAAGGCGTCTCAAAACCAGCTTGAGCAACATAAGAGAATTCCTGCCTTTTCACCTGTGTTTTGCACCTATTTCTTTGCTCCTGATGAGGTCTCTGCTCATGTGACACACAATTTTGAAATTCTCCTACAAAACCAAACTGGTTAAAATGCATTAACCTATACAGAGCAGCTTAATAAAATACTGAGTTTATGTAAGGCATAGGACACTAGGCTATACCTACAGAAGACCAATTTCTAACAATTCACCTGTTCAGTTTTGGTTGCTGCTCCACTGCTGTAAGAGAACAGCCATTTGACTCCAGGTAAATGCACTAACCAGTAGCGTGGAAACTCACATTAGATTTGAGAGTGCCACATGTTACACTGTAACAGCACTCAAAAAACTCTCCCTCCACCCCACCATTCTGCACCATAACACTTAAGCACGTTAACATACAACCTGTATCTGTATAATTTAAGGTGAGCTTTTTCCCTTGTTCTCAGTACTGACAGTAAACTGCAATTAATCATATGAAAATAATGGAGACTAGTGTGGAAAGCCAAATATTTTCATCAAACATACAGGAGAAAGAGACTAAATTCATTCTATTTCGCCTTTCCATGACAAAGCATTGAATGTCAGATTTTGAATCCAACTCCAAACACTGATGGACATACTCTAATATACAGCAGACTCACAGCACTCTTTATTCCTGGTGAAATTAACCTAAGCATGTGTTCAAAAGCAAATATTCAAAACATCCATTTAAATTTGTACTCTATAAGCCAAAAAATATTAACAGCCATTTAAAACACATTATGTTTGCCCAAAAAATCCAGATCAGTCAAAAGCTACAAGACTAGTGCAAGATGAAATACTGGCAGTTCCACGATAAAAGAACAAAATATTGTGCAGAATTTGCCAGTAAAGGATAACAAACGGTTTTCCTAGATGCAAGTCAAAACTGAACTGCAAATGTTTCTTACATTACTATTTTGAGAAACCACATTCAACAGTTAGGCACACCACAGTATCACAACGAGATTTTACTTTACTCTTCTTGAAATACATATTTAAACCACTGCATTTATATTAAATGCTTCACAACTGCTACCATTACTGAAGTTCAGTAAATACCTAGGCAGGTTCTGCAGCCATTCCAGAAATAGCTGATGTGAAGATGCCTCCTACTGTCAAACCTAAAATACTACAGTCTGAAGATGTGACCTTGGGTGCACTTTTCCCGTCAGCAACTCCATCTCACAGATACCTGTATATACTCCTCAGTAAATGAAGCATAAATGAAACATTTACCATAACTAACAATCACACTGCCCCAGGCCTTGGCATTCCCTAAAATCCAGACTTAAAACCCTGGTAGTACCAAATAAATAAACTGGTCAATTCACCGGCTATTGGCATAGCAGCTTCTCCAGACTAGCTTTTTCAAAGTCCTTTGCACCAAGGCAGTAATTTTCCAAAAGTGTTCCAACTTAAGCTCACACGTTGTAAAGAAAACCTAGGTTGAAAAGGAGCTTTTAAGCTTCTCAGATTTGACTACTGCAGTAAAACGTGTTCAGAACAGTTTCTCCACTAGAGGGCAAACGTAAATCTGAGCAATTACTTGACAACACTTGAGCACAGAGGCCAAGCTCATAACAGCAAGTTCAGGACTCAAGCCCCTCCTGAGATGCAGTCAACTTGTGTTGTCAAGTCACAGGCTTTAGTCAGATACCTGAGAACACAAGAGCCCTTCTGCCATAGCCTCTAAAACCATGTGTGCCTACCCCTGGTATATACAGGCACAGAAAAATATGGAATAGCTTATCTGTGCTTGGTGTACCCTGTCTTGTCTGCTTTACTCACTCTGATTTTCCTACACTTGTGGAAGACTACCAGGCCTGAGCAAAGGTCTGACAAGAGGATTTTAAGAGCAATGGGACAAATGCTGTGTAGAAAAACTTCCACCTCCTATTGTTAGTGTATAGAAGTAAGACTTTATTATCTTTAGTAGATAATTTATGTTCAATTTAGGCAAGCATTAGCAATCAGAAGTCAATTATTTCATAATCCTCTTGAAATCTTGTGAGGAACCTCAAACAGGTTACTGGGCAGCTATTAAGAAATGAAAATGGATGTGGTTGCAACAACTTCTCAACTTCTCTGACCTGTAAAAATCTTGGATTAGAGAGGATCACATCTGTACAGACAAAAAAGGAGAAAGTGCTGTAGAGCTGAGTCTACCTACTCCAACATCCATGTGGCTCTAGACCCAACCTAGCAGACCATCAAGACTGTTCATGCTTTCATTATCAGGCTGTCCCTTTTGTACTGAAGGGTGTAGCATTTTGCTTCCTTAAGCTGCTGTGAGAGTGCCACAGCACAACAGAAGGCATTTGATAAACAACTACTGCATACACCTTTGGAAATAGGAAACCTTTAACAGAAAGGTTAATTGCTCATCTGCATATAAGTTTCCTACCAATTTCCAAATCAGGTTGCCAACAATGGGCCTTGAAACACAGGGAAACTTCTGAGTACCAGCTTGAAGATGAACACATAAATTTTCTGCATTTTCCTATATTCTGTTGGCTTTTTCTACTTAAAAAGCAAAACATGTTAGAATTACAGTATCAGCTCTTAGTTTCAGAAACATCAATTTCAATAACCCAGAAGAGAATCTAGGCCTATGAAGCTAGGAGATATTGGTAAGCAGTGTTGCTATGCCCAGTGTTTAAATAATCCAAGATAACACTTTTAACTGCACCTGACATCACTCTTCTCCAAAACGTAAAACTTTGGAATGCTAAGCTTTAATCTGAGCTCCTTTATTTCAGGATGCTGTAATTTTAATTTTTTTTTTAACATGAACGAAGTTATATCAGACAGGCAAAACCTTAAATTCTAATCTAATCTAGATTGCTAAGAACAGCTATGAAAGAATTGCAAAGAAGCCTCCCTCTCCATTAAGCATAAACCCCAAAAACCCTTCCCTGTCATCCAGAGTCTCACTTAATTCTCCTCTTTCCTCCCACTTTTCTCCCCAAAATAATTCTCCCTTCAATACAGCAAACAAAATTGGAGAGAAGATACTATTTACACAGGTGTTAAATTATGGTGCATTTCTGCAACTGCTGCCAAAGACAGCAGTTTCTATTTCAGTAACACATTTTCCCAGCCAGAACCTGTTAAAAAGGTAGCTTACCCTCCTCAAATACTAAACGAGGAGATTCTCTACACCTGGTATAAATTAAAAGTGAAAAAAATGAGTCACAACACTCCAATCAATGTTGAAAGTTTAATGTTCCTGCTACATACTGCCTTTCAGAACTGCTAAACAAGTGTGTCATTGATAACAAAACTACAGTAAGCACCAGAACAGTTTTAATTTAACCAATGCCATAAGAACTGGCACCTCATTTATATTCTTCTTTTTGCTGCAGTCTGGAGAGCACAAGAACTGCTGATCTAGAACTAGCACATCAATCTGGAGAGA